ATTCTGTCGTAATTCCGATTCCGGCTACGATCGAGATCCTTAGCTCCTTGAGATATGTCAGCGTCTTGCTGATGTCGTTCTCCATTTCTTTCAAGGGTAGGTAAACCTCCTGGGGAGTCTCGGGTTTAGCTTCGATGAGAGCCTCTAAGGCTTGTGTCCATTGGTCGGAGAGCTTGGAGAGGATCTCTTTCAGTCGATCCGTCTCCGCGATTGCATCTCTCGCGTCGATCACATCATTGTGGAATGTGCCGGCGGCCTCACGGTAGAGCTCTATCCTTGATTTAAGAAGGTTTGATTTCGCTCTCTCTGGGGAGATTTTCGAGAGGTCGGGGTTCGACGCTGGCCTCAGTGTGTGGGGGTCTGGTTCCGGCTGGTCCGAAACGGTCGGAGGTGAATTCTCCTGGGGAGGTATTTGGACTTGTTCCCCCGAGGGGTCTGCCTCGTTTTTCGGGCTTGATGAACCTGCCTGGATGATGCTCTGAGCGCGCTGCATGAGGTTCTCCTCTTCGCTGTCTGCCTGTTCGTGGACCACCCTCATGCTGCGAAATTGTTCCTGTAGGAACGCCGAGTTTTCTTGATCGAAGGATTTTTGCGACATTTCCGAGATAGGTTTCTTCTTTGAACTTTCCATCTTTGATCCACAGGGGTTTGAACCCTTCTGGGTGATGTGGCTGAGTTAGGCCTAGCCTCTGGTACTTGATAACCGCGAGACTGGCAGACTTCGGGGCCGGGGTTTTGCGTCCCGGTGATCCCTGAGATGGATTCGGCCGAAGGCAGGCGTGGGGCTTTTCGAGCGAAATTATTTTTGGGATATTTCGCTTACTTGGCTTGGGCCTTGCCGTTGCGGTCCGAGATGAGTTGATCGTGAAGTTGTTGGAGCGTCTGGGGCCCCTCACTTGGATTGCAGGATGCCCGGTCGAGGATTCTGAGTTCTCGAGCGCGGGTTCTTGATTCTTCTGACACCGAAATGTGACACACTATCCTAGATGATCGAGTGAAGACGCTGAAGCATCCGAAAAAGAGATCCAGGAAGCGGGCGCACTATGCTTGAGAATATTCGTGATGAATGCTAGCGGGTCTGATCCCTGGCCTAGCCACTGTACTGCACTGCACTGGGAATTCGAACCCCTGGGGCGAGTGGACAAGGTTCTGAAGCAGGTAGCGATCGCGTACCGGTCCTCGACCTTGCTCTCGATCGACTGGCAGTGTGTGTGTGTGTGTGTCGGCTGCTCGACTTCTCCATCAGCTGGCTGCCTGACTGATTGACTGTGGCGCCGTGAGCGGGGGAAGTTGTCGATGATCGACCGCCGTTGATGCGTGTCTGTGTTCTGGTTGAGTGCGACCCGGCTTCCTCTTGGTTTATTCTTATCTCTCCTGGAGATACACTGATGATGATTAAATGATTATAATTACAGGAATACCTTGCATAATGCGGATTTCGGGACCGCACTATTCAAGTACCCGCACTATCCAAGTCGGCACTATCGAAGACAGAGGGTCCGCACTATTGGGATCAATACACTGTGGATTCGATTAGCGCGGACCCGCCGTCTTCAATGGAGGGATTCCGGAAGAGAGCGATCTTGGAATCCCGCTCCTGTAAATGAGAAAGCGAATGGAAGAGACCCCGACAGCTTCGTATCGGCACTATTTAAAACATTTTTTATCACTGATTTTGCTGCGACATTCGGTTGCTTAGCTCTTGATAGACACGAACAGATTCTTTCAAATTATGACTAGCGAGTTGACCCCGTTGGAGCTTGCAGTCAACGCGCTGGATGTGTGCCGAGAGCTCGTCGGTCATCCTTACTATCGTAAGAACTTCATCGAGCGTAGGCTCTTCGAGGTGCTCGCGATCTTGGTCGACAGCGAACGTGTCGAGGGACTCGTTGTCGAGTGGCTCCGGCCTGAGGTTGACAAATTCATCGATGTCGATCGCTTCGATATCTGAGAGGCCCGTTCGACGCACCGCATCCAGCATGTCGTCATTGGCTCGAGAATATTGATCATCCAGATCAACAGTTACGTTCGCACAATGAGGCAGAATGTGCTTCCACACTCCCCTCATGTTCCTCGAGCTGACTTCGTTCCATGCGTCACTGATGTTAACAATCACGGTCTTCAAATTCAGATTCTTCCAGAATTGGATGAGCGTTATGCCTTTTTCCTGTGTTTCTTGAATCGCTTGCGCAAGGGTCCGTCGCAAGTAGTAAGCTTTGAACGTGGAAATGACCCCCTGATCCATAGGCTGGATCATAGAAGTCGTATTGGGCGGCAGAAATGTCACTCGGACACTTTGATTCAATGCGGACAGCCCGTCTGGATGTCCCGGAGCGTTATCCAGAATCAAGAGAATTTTGAAAGCAATCCTCTTCTTTCGGCAGTATTCCTTGGTGGCAGGACAGAAATAGTTAAGGAACCAGTCCTGGAATAAGACCTTGGTGACCCACGCTTTCCCGTTGAAGCGCCAAATCACGGGTAAATCTTCCTTCCGAACATGTTTGAGATCTCTGGGATTCTCAGAACGATACACATGCATTGGTTTCAGCTTAAAGTCGCCGGCTGCGTTCCCACCTAGGAGCAGCGTCAGACGGTCCTTGGTGATTTTGTGGCCGTTGGACGAAGCCTCTCCCGCCACAACAAATGTTCTGGATGGACATTTTTTCCAGAACAACGCGGACTCATCGACATTGAAAATTTGCTCATCCCTGTATCTTCCTTCTTGAATGACCCGACCATCTCCATCCGTATCCTAGTCACCAATACCCGATCCCTCAGGAAAGCCAACAAATTTGATATCATTACCGCACATTATTCTCAATCCAATGATATAATAAGCTGCTCTGAAACATGGTTTCACCCAGACGAGGCCAGCTGTTATCAGATTCCTGATTTCTCTCATTTCTCCCTATGTAGGGACTCTGCCTATGGCGGGGTTTCGATATTTGTCAGAGATACCTTGGTGGTGTCCTCGGTTCGGGAGCTCCAGCGAGAGGGGAGTAATTTACAGGCTATCGCCTTGAATATTCTCTTTCGTCCTCTCAACCTCAAATTCAACCTCCTCTCAATCTACTCTGCCCGCGCCAGTCTCTCCAATTCCCTCTCTGATCTCATTTCCGATACAATCTCGAGATCGACCGAACCTTATCTCCTACTTGGGGATTTCAACGTCGATCTCCTGACCCGAGCTCCCTACGTCTCAGCCTTCGTCGAATGCCTGCATGGCCTAAATCTGGTGGAGGTTCATCGCCTCATAACTCGACCTGCCTCTGGCACATGCCTCGATCACCTGTGGCTGACCAATGATGGCTGGGCGGTTGTCTCTCAGGCCTCAGTGCTTCCTTGTCTCGATTTCTCAGACCACTACCCTGTCTCCTGCCACCTTTTGTTACCGTCAAAACATCTGCCCACACCTGGTTCCTCTCTCCGACACCGGCGCATTTTCAGTGAGGCGAATTATCAGTGTTTCTTTGATTCCCTTCGCTGTGAGAATTGGTCTCCCCTCTATTCCTGCCAAGATGTGGACGTAGCAGTCGACGCATTCACGCGTCAACTCTTTTCTGTGTACGATGCATCTTTCCCCCTTGTCCCTCTTCGAACTCCTAAACGGATGCCTTCTTGGTACTCGCCTGGCCTTGCCCGTTTTAGTCGTCGACTGAGGCGCTTGGCGCTGCGGTACTTCCGAACAAGATCACCACCTCATAAGCTTAAGTATTATTCTTTCCTTAAACACTACCGTGCTCGAATTCGATCCTGTCGTTACAAGTTCACTCAATCCCTTGTGGACAGGATCAGTTCCTCTCCTAAAAAGCTCTGGCATCTCATCAATGAGTCTGTCGGGCGTTCTCGGACCCTGACATCACCCCTCTCCCATAGCGCATCAGCTGACCGTGAGAGTTTCGATGTACTCAATGATTTTGCGAAATTCTTTGCGTCTATTGGAGCAACGACAGCGAGTCTCTCCTCCCCTTCGTCCCACATTTCCTCTGATCCCATTCTTACCCGAACTTTCGATTCCTTCAAAGAATCCGCTGCTGACTGGGCTCTCAAGTTCATCGACCCTTACTCCCTCCCTACGATCTGCCTCGATATCAAGACCAATTACGCGCGTTCTACGTCTGATGTCCCCTCCAAAGCCATCGTACTCGCTATCGAACTTCTTTGTATCCCAATCGCCTATCTCTTCAATCTTTCTATCCGCACAGGAGTCTTCCCAGCCTCTTTCAAGCTTGCATCTGTCATTCCTTTCTTTAAAGGCAAGGGACCTCGGGATCAACCGGCCAACTACCGTCCCATTAGTATTCTCCCTTTCCTCTCCAAGCTCTTCGAAAAATGTGTTCTCACCCAACTCAATGACTTAGATTCCTCTCGTGCCCACCTCTCGTGCCATCAGCACGGCTTCAGAGCTAAGTTCTCGACAGACACAGCCCTATGTGAGATCCGCAGCTTTATTCTGGAGAACTGTGTTGCCAAGTCCTCTGTTGTTGGTATCTTCCTTGACCTAGCGAAGGCGTTCGACTGCCTTGACCATTCGATTCTCCTTCGTTTCCTTAGAAACACTGGAGTCTCTGATCAATCCCTTGCCTGGTTCGAATCTTATCTGTCAAATCGTTTCCTTACTGTCAATGTTGATGGTATATCATCCTCCTCCTTCCCCATCACCCATGGAGTTCCCCAAGGCTCGGTTCTGGGCCCGTACCTTTTTCTCCTCTATATTAACATCCTCCTCGAACATGGCAACTCTCTCTGCGCTCAATTACGCGTTATTTCTTTCGCGGACGACACTACGATTCTGTTCAGCTTCTCTCCTCTCAGCACAGAAAGGGACATTGCGGTCCTCAATTCCCACCTCGTATCCCTTTCCTCAATGCTACGCACTCTCAAGTTAACCATCAACTCCGATAAA